TAATTATTTTATTTTATGGACCGGGCCCCGGGGGGGGTTGATCCCCGGAATAACCTCCAGGGAGGGGCATAGCTGACGTTTTCTCGAGGAAAAAATGTGCTCGATGCTAGGCACTCAGCTCAAAAACGCTAAATATGCACTTGGTTTTTCTGCTTTGGGAAAGGGAAATTGGAAAAAAAAGATGGGGCGTGAAAATATGAAACCCCCCTAGGAAAAAGCCCGGGCCCCTAATTTACAACAGGAAAAAAGCAAACTCCCTTCCCGTAAGCTTTTTTAAACCCCGAAATGGTACCTCTTCAGTACAGGAAAAAATGGCTATAACTTAAATTCCAGGCAAACCATCTAAAGGGGGGCAAAAATTTCAAAACCCTCCCGGCCCCCTGGGGGAAAACCCGGGTAGGGCCCCCGCCATCAAGGGGGAGAGGGGGGGGTTTTTTTGTGCCAGGAAAAGGAAAAAAAAAAATGGGAGGGAAATTTGGGAGGGAAAAACGGACAAACCCCCAAAACCAGTCCCTTCCCGGAGGGGGAACACAGTCGATGGCCTCCACTCCAAACCAACAGTCAGGGCTAATGCCGGGAAAAAAAATTCCCCCCCCGTACCCAAAAATACCACCAGTCCGATAAACTTTTTCTTTGCAAATTTTACGGGTCTTAAAACCAGCAACAAACCCAAAAAAAATACCTTTTATCCGTTTTGGGCTGCTTGCAAGGCAAAAGGGAATGTTTTGCGGGGTTTCACTGAGACCCCCCATTTTTAAAAGGTCACTTGGAAAAACGAAAAAGGATCCCAGGGGGCAACCCCATACAGATGTGACAGAGTGAAAAAGGCAAAGGGGGGGGGTTGGGGCCCGTACATTGCAGAGTCCCTTGTTTGCCCCCAGAAAGGGTTTTAATGCCTCAAAAGACGATGGAAGTTTTTGCAGTTAAAAGGGCGAGAACCCCCAAAAACCCGTCATTGTGGTAGTCAAAAAGCCCCGGATTTCCAAAATTTCCCCGCAATTCCAGGAAAAAACTTTAAAAATTGACCACGTCTGGGAAAAACTTCCAGCTCCCACCCCAAAATTTTTGCCCTGGGGGATTTTTAACCTTTAAAGGGACCCCAAAATGGGGAATAAAGCAAAAAAAAATTTTTAGGCAGTTTAAAAACACCAGGAGGAAACCCTTTTTGAAAAAACCAAATCCCCACGGCTTTTTTAAAACTCTGCACAAAATTTAATTTAAACCACAAAAAATAGGGGCCTACTAACGGAAAAATTTCACTTTGACCTCAAAATTCACTAACAATGAAGATCGATAAAAATGTCACCATATCAAAAACAATATACTCAGATCACAACATAAATTTTTTTTCAGACATTTTATGCGTGGACCCCAACCGACAAAAAGGGGACTAGGGGCACGAGGGGGCATTCCCCCAAATTCAACTTCTAAAAAAAAACATAAAGTTGGGGCCAAATTAAAACCAAAATCCTAACCGATATAAGCGGGGGAAAATTTTAAATAAGCAAAACAGACCCAAAACCTTAAACCTAGAACAGATTAAAATCGGGGGCACTCGATGTATGCACAAGGCTTATTTTCCCCTAAGAAAAAAAGGAGGAGTAAGTAAAAAAGAAAGAGGAAAAGGCCTTCCCTTTACAGGCCCACGGGAAAAAAATAAAAAGGCGGGTTAAAAAAAGGTCCAAAATTCTGAAATGCGGGAGACACTGGTCAGAGAAATAGAAGCAAGAACCTTAAACTAAAAAAAACCCTTTTGGAGTCGGAAAACGCGGGGGGGAAAAATAAAAGGCTATAAAAGAAATCGAAAGAAACCCCCCAAATTTTTTCTTCTTTCCCATGCCAAAACCAAAACGAGAAAAACGGCCCAGTATTGGGCCCCCCACTTAAACAAAAATGGGTCCTACAAATGACAGCAAAGGGAAAAGGGGTTTAGGGTATCAAATCCCCAAAAATGACTCATTTTTTGCAAGCCGCTAAAACCCGACTGAGAGTCGAAAATCAAAATAATTTTTTTTTGAGAAGGGCCCCAAAAAATTTTAAAAAACACAAGCCTATCCCTTTTTATCCTTAAGCCAAATGAAATTCGAACAGGCCCATTTTAAAAACATGCCCATTTCCCCTTTTGCCCCGGGCCCGACTCATGGAAATCTGTGTTCAACAAGAACTGAAAAAAGCCCCTAAAACACGAGCCTTTTTCCCTCCTTGGGGAGGGAGAAGGACACGGGGGTTTGTCCCTCAGTTACAAAAAAAAAACAGGGCATAGCCCCCCCTTCCCCCAAAGGGGGCCCTAAAGCAACAGCAAAGAAATACGACCAAAAGCAAAAACACCCATATAAAAAAAATCTTTTTAAAAGGGGCCTAAGAACAAGATCCCCACCCATTTTGGGAAAACCCCTCAAAATTACACAACCCCGGGCAACATGGGGTTTTTTTGAAAAAGGTCGGCCCCGTTTTGTCTCAACTACTGGATCAAACGACAAAGGTCCCAAATGGACTAGAAACAAAAAAATGAGATGTAATTTAAGGGCTTTGCAAAAGCCCTTTGAAAGGGTGGACCATGGCCCTAAAGCGCACAAAAAGCGCGCTAAAGGAAAAACAGGAAAGTCGGTCGATGGATCTATAATTTCCTCCCCCTAACAGAAAAAGAGAGTAGTCCCTCAACCCGAGTAAAGTCCGAGGGGGAGCTTCGGTAAAAGCTCTGTTCCCCAAAGGCCGTACTAGCTCCCATCTTGTTCCCCTCCTCATATCCGACATAGAAAAAGGATGCAGCCAAAGCACCGGTCTTCCTTTGGGAGATGACACCCCAATCTGATGGCAGGGGTCCCTTCCCTTTCAACCCCTGCAAGGCTCCAGGCGGACATCAAACCCAAAACTTTTCAGTGGGCTGCAGAAAACAAAATTTAAGTTCAACGATGAGAAATTTCAATTAAATCAGGGTATGGAAACTTTAGGAAAATTTAAAACTTAAACAAAAGGGAAAAAAACAAATTTGGCCACAAAATAGAGGGGAAACCCCAACGCAAAGGGGCCTGGGGGGTGGGTTTGTCGGGGATCTCACCCTTTAAGGACCATAAAATTGTATCAATCGCATTGCTGAAAAATGACAGGGTGGGGTAATGAAACCTTAAAAACTAGGGGGGCCAAGCCCATGATGAACTTTTTCAGGTCACTTGTTCTATTCCCCCGGCTGGAATATTGCGCACTCAAACAGCAAACCCTTTTAAGGGAAGGGTGAAATTGCCGACCTAAAAATTTTTCAGAGAAAATTCCCCGGGGCCCCATAACGGAGAAAAACACCCCAATTACTGGGGCGCTTGAGGTTTTTAAACCTGTATTCCCTGGAACACAAAGGGGGGAGAATACCCTGGATTATAAACACCCGGGGAAAAACCAAAAGGGGACTATTCCGAACTTGGGACACGAAAATCACTACTACGAAAACAAAAAGACTTGGCCAACGATGCACCATCCCCCCCAATGAAAAACAGGGGTTTTTCCTAGCAGTTAAGAGACCATACAATTTAAATGTTTAGGGGCCCGGAAAAACCCTTTTCAACTGCCTCCCGCACACATAAAGGGGAAATTTCCAAAACCCCGGCAAATTTCAAGCGGGGCACTGGACAAGGGACCTAAAATCAGTTCCCGATCAGCCGGGCTGGGGGCTCTAAAAGTTGGTTTTCTGCAGCCCGCAGCAAAAAGCCTGGTTGTCAGGGGTGATCCCCCAGGGGGCCTGGTTTACAGACCGGGCCCCGGGGGCGTTGACCCCCGAAAAAATCTCTCCAGGAAAAAATCCAGGTAAAAAACCCCCCGGGAAGAAAAAATAAGGGTAAGATTTCGTTTTGGGTTTTTTTAAACCCCCAAAGGGGTTTCCCCCGGATTACCCAAGAAAGTCGGCGTCATCGAGGACTGTCTAACTTAATTTTTCCCTTGGGGGCCTTAATCTTGTCCCCCGGATTTCAACCCCCCCAGCGGCTAAAACCCAGGGGACCTATTTTGCTTGGAGGGGAAAGGACCCAAAAGGTGTAAGGGAAAAGTGTCGGGAAATGTTTCCACCCGCCGGGAATCGAACCCGGGCCCTCCGTGTGTGAAGCGGGAGCTTTAGCCACCAGGCCACCGGGCTGGAAAACATTAGGAACGTGTTTCCATAAGACACCTGCTGTCCCTGTTCATCCATCAGTAAAATGTGTACCTGGGTGTTAGTGGCCCGGTGGCCCGGTGGCCTGGTGGGAGTGGCCCGGTGGCCTGGTGGGAGTGGCCCGGTGGCCTGGTGGCTAAAGCTTCCGCTTCACACACGGAGGGCCCGGGTTCGATTCCCGGCGGGTGGAAACATTTCGACACGTTTCCTTACACCTGTTGTCCTGTTCACCTAGCAGCAAATAGGTACCTGGGTGTTAGTCGACTGGTGTGGGTCGCATCCTGGGGGACAAGATCAAGGACCCCAATGGAAATAAGTTAGACAGTCCTCGATGACGCACTGACTTTCTTGGGTTATCCTGGGTGGCTAACCCTCCGGGGTTAAAAATCCGAACGAAATCTCTCTCTCTTGACTGGCGTGGGTCGCATCCTGGGACAAAACTGACCCAATTTGCCCTAAATGCTCAGCATAACAAGGGGCTTTCTATATAGTAGTATATCACTGATGTCAGCTGGAACTGTATACCTTGTACATGTACTTGTAGTAAATAAAGATATTATAATTCCGCCCATAATAGGGCACCATAATTTTTTTTTCTGGACTCCTGGGAACTACGACCTAGTAAGGCATATGCTTTGGTGGCCCCTAATAATCTCAACACTAATAACAATTGCTCTATCCTTGGTGATGTGTAGACTTTTCGTTCTCGCCTAAGCATAAGTGACAGTTTTTTATATTTTCTCTGGGACGCTTGTTCTCATCTTATTCTGCCAGCTATGCATGTGAAAAGAGGGACACATTACACAAATAACCCGCACATAAAAGAGAGAAGCTTACGACGACGTTTCGGTCCGACTTGGACCATTGACAAAGTCACAGTGTGACTTTGTCACACTGTGACTTTGTCACACTGTGACTTTGTCAATGGTCCAAGTCGGACCGAAACGTCGTCGTAAGCTTCTCTCTTTTATGTGCGGGTTATTTGTGTATTGTTCCAGTCACGGTATTGTGCCTTTTTGTTATTTAGGGACACATTAATCTGCTACTCTTTTCTGCGCTGTGGACATTTCAAGATTTTCGTGGTAAGCCGGTTATTAAACTCAGGCGAGTTTAAGCAAGGGGGTTCACCTACTCAGTTGGGAACTTTTTGTTCCCATTTTTACTTGCAAAAGGAACTCCTTTTTTTTTTTTTATCTGCCAGCTTAGTTGTGGTGCCTGAGCCACTAGTTTTGGGAATTTTCCATTTTTCGGGACGTTGGGCTCGATACAGTGAATGCTGTTAGTGGCCTTGTAAACCCCAAACAACAGCTACAGCAACACGTGTCCTGAAGTTATTAATTAAAAATGGTAAGTATATGCTAGTTTAAGTCTTTATAATGTATTACTGAATGTCAGTAGTCTCCACTGTACGACCCACATGTGTTTAGCGTGTTTTCGAATATAATACAAAGAATGTATGACAGTAATACTTGCACTTTGTGAAAACATTGTAGAAATGTATAACCGCGGCATGTAAAAATATTTATTTTTTTTGTCCGATGCTTTTTGACCAGTAGCAGATTTCCCAATTTTTTTTTTTAACACCATCCGTCTCCTACCATGGACCATGGTAGAGTGATTAGATTTAGATTTTTGCCACCTAAGTGGCTAGTTTATTGTGCACCCCATATTCATCCTGTGGACGGTAGCGCAAGAATATATGGATACACAAAAGGCCTAGGAACGAGGCCCCAAAAGGGTTAACAGGAATACATATCTTCAGTTTACTTATCTGTTACAAGCAATTTTAGGAAATTTGCTTAGTATATCTGGTATCTTATTTTCATTAATAAGATATCTTGACATGCCACATAGGTTATTATACTGTCCATCTCTGTATTCCTCAATAAGTGGACAATTAAGCACATAGTGTTCAAGACAGTGACCATATGCCTGATCACATAATTTACATTTATTTTGATCATCATGTGTGTGTCTCCCAAACTGCCAGAAGTACTTGTAACCAAGCCTAAGCCTGGCCACTACAACATCAGTCAGTCTGTTCACATTGCAAGTTGCTCCATAAACATACTTATCTACGTTCATGTTATCATAGTGGGTTATAGATCTACTCAGGCTTTTAACTGCATTCCTGTAACAATCATTTTCATTATTTACTTCTCTCCTAATATTCCTAATGCTAGACACAGATATACCAGTTATATTCTACATTCTCCTTCTGGGTACTCTTCTTGGCTAACATATCAACTTTATCATGAAGGAGTAATTCAATGTGTGATGGGATCCATAGCAATTGTACATTAATTCCTTTGTCCCTGATTTTTGAGTATCTATACCTGGCTTCTCCAATGAGCATGTTGCTGGAGTCATTGTATGAGTTAAGAGCATTCAGTGATGACATAGAATCAGTAATGATGATAGTCAAGCTCAGTGTCATAAGTTAGCTTTAGCGCCACTACATGGTAGGGTGACCCTCCTAAAAAGAAACGTTCATTTATCATTCATTCAGTACAGTATTTGTTTTGCCAGAAGTGCATAAAAATTAGTTACTACACATACGTTACCATGTATCCGACATAGACAAGGATGTCAGCCACAGCACCGTGTCTTCCTTTGCAGATGACACCCGAATCTGCATGACAGTGTCTTCCATTGCAGACACTGCAAGGCTCCAGGTGGACATCAACCAAATCTTTCAGTGGGCTGCAGAAAACAATATGAAGTTCAACGATGAGAAATTTCAATTACTCAGATATGGTAAACATGAGGAAATTAAATCTTCATCAGAGTACAAAACAAATTCTGGCCACAAAATAGAGCGAAACACCAACGTCAAAGACCTGGGAGTGATTATGTCGGAGGATCTCACCTTCAAGGACCATAACATTGTATCAATCGCATCTGCTAGAAAAATGACAGGATGGATAATGAGAACCTTCAAAACTAGGGAGGCCAAGCCCATGATGACACTCTTCAGGTCACTTGTTCTATCTAGGCTGGAATATTGCTGCACACTAACAGCACCTTTCAAGGCAGGTGAAATTGCCGACCTAGAAAATGTACAGAGAACTTTCACGGCGCGCATAACGGAGATAAAACACCTCAATTACTAGGAGCGCTTGAGGTTCCTAAACCTGTATTCCCTGGAACGCAGGAGGGAGAGATACATGATTATATACATCTGGAAAATCCTAGAGGGACTAGTACTGAACTTGCACACGAAAATCACTCACTACGAAAGCAAAAGACTTGGCAGACGATGCACCATCCCCCCAATGAAAAGCAGGGGTGTCACTAGCATGTTAAGAGACCATACAATAAGTGTCAGGGGCCCGAGACTGTTCAACTGCCTCCCAGCACACATAAGGGGGATTACCAACAGACCCCTGGCAGTCTTCAAGCTGGCACTGGACAAGCACCTAAAGTCAGTTCCTGATCAGCCGGGCTGTGGCTCGTACGTTGGTTTGCGTGCCAGCAGCAACAGCCTGGTTGATCAGGCTCTGATCCACCAGGAGGCCTGGTCACAGACCGGGCCGCGGGGGCGTTGACCCCCGGAACTCTCTCCAGGTAAACTCCAGGTATGATAATTTGTGTAACTGTATTTATATGTACTTGTACCGAAATAAACTTACTTAACAACCCCACCCCTCCTTTAGAGTGCAGGCACTATACTTTCTACTTCCAGGACTCAAATCTGGTTAACTGGTTTCCTTGACTCCTTTTGCTAATTTTAACATTTCTTACACTCTAACATCATGCCATATCCCTGAAACCACTTGTCTCCACTCACTTAGCTCTAATATACTTGTGCAAAACTTGCTGGATGCTCAGTTGAGCCCTTACCACTTTAAATCTCCCTCACACCCATCTTCCAACCCTTCTGAAATGACCCCTACCCATCCTTTGACCCCAAATTTGGTCATTGTATTTTCCTTCATCCTCTAAACTCTTAAACCACCTCAAGAAGCCTTCCTCCTAACATAAATGGCATACAATACTAACAAGTTGTAATGTTTTGTTAGTATTGCAGTCTTGTTTAGTTGAATAAACGTGATTATAACACTATACAGTAGAAGCAGAGAAATGATGTTAAGGAGAGAAATGATGTTAATACATGAAGAGAGAGCCACACACACTAGAACATTGTGAACACATTACAAACAAAAATTATTGTATCAGTACTTCAGAATTGTTATATCAGGATTAAATTTGTAATTATTATTATTATTATAATTAATAATAATATTATAATTAATAATAATAATTACAAATTTAATCCTGATGCAAGAATTCTGAAGCATTGATGCATTAATTTTTGTTTGTAATGTGTTCACATTGTAAAATAGAATGTTCTGGTATGTGTGGTTGTCTGGGGTCAAGGACCCCCAATGGAAGTGAGTCACGTTGTCTGACTTTTTTGGGGTTATCTTAGGTAATCTACACATATGCTGCTATGTATGACAATCTATATAACTCTATTTATGTGTACCTGTACAGTACTTGAATAAACTTACTTCTCCACTTCTGCTGTATAGTGTTATAATCACATTATGACTCAAATATACAGTTTTCTTAGAACTCATTAGAGGTGTAAACACTAATGACAACTGATAACCTCACATGCTGAAGTGATTATCCCTATTTATTTATTTATTTCATGTTTTTGCAAACAGTACATTGAGATTTTGTATTTACAATAGTGGGTTGCAATGCAAAGAGAGCCTTTATTATGCCTTGGCATTATGGGCCAACTTAACATTATTGGCTTACAGTCTACTTAACACTAAGGAGTATATCATAGTTGTACAGTAGGATAGTAATTATTTCATAGTTGTACAGTAGAATATTAATTATAAATGAATCAAAATTTGTATAATACAAAGACATATTTATATTCGAAAATGCTTTTTTGTGAAAAACAATGATTCAATTATATTCCTGTCAACAAAGGGTAAAAGGTTCAAAGTGATTGTTTCAGTTATGATGTGGGAGTACATAGGTGAGTAAATGTGTACTGAGTATTTAGCATTTGGTCTAGGGTGATTAAGTGGCTTTTGAGAAGAGTCTTAAATTGATTTTCAGACTGGGTTACTTTAATATCTTCTGGTAATGAATTCCATATTTTGGGGCCCTTTATGTGCATAGAGTTTTTACAGTGTGATATGGACACGAGGTATATCAAAAAGAGATTTGTGTCTTGTGTTGTGGTCATGTGTCCTGTTTAGGTTGTTGAGGAGAAGTTTGAGTGGAGGGTTTATATTTGCGTGTATTGTTCTGTAGTAGGCACATGAATAAGTATGGATGTTCTTAATGATGAGCAGATTCAGACTTGAAAATTGGTGGAGTTGCTGGCAGGAGTGGAAATTTATCATTCTTACTGCTGCCTTTTTCTGGGCTATTAGGAGTTTTAGGTGATTGGATGTTGTTGATCCCCATGCACAAATTCCATATGTAAGATAAGGGTATATGAGTGAATGGTACAGTGCCAGGAGAGTTGATTGTGGAACATAGTACCTTATCTTTGATAGTATGCCTACAGTCTTGGAGATTTTCTTGGTGATTTGTTGTATGCGTGTCCGGAACTTAAGGCTACTGTCAAGGTGGATACCTAGGAATTTTCCCTCTGTGAGTCTTGTGACTGATGATCCATATAGTGTTATGTTAATTGGATTATTTGCAGCTTTACATATTTCCAAACTGAATGAAATAGGTTTTATCAGTGTTCAGGGTAAGTTTTTTTAGTCATCATCCAGGCAGATATTTTCTGTAATTCAGCACTGACTGTGTTTGCTAGTATGACTGTGTTTGGGTGGGAAAAGACATATGTAGTGTCATCTGCAAATAGTATGGGTTTGAGTAGCTGTGATGCATTCGGTAGAGTCCCACAAGGACGCTTCCTTGTGGGACTCCTACTATGATTGGTTGGGTGGAAGAGTTTGCATCATTTGCATACACATATTATGTTCTGTTACTAAGGTATGATTTTAGGTAGTTGAGGGAGTGGCCTCTGATACCATAGTGCATTAATTTGGAGTACAGCAGTTCATGGTCGACTGTATCAAAAGCTTTACGTAAATCAATGAAAATGCCCAGCGGGACTTCTTTCTTTTCAAGTGCGGTATATATTAGTTCTAGCATGTGTATGATAGCATCATTTGTGCTTTTATTATTCCTGAATCCAAACTGACAAGGGTTTAATATGTTGTGTGAAACGAGGTAGGAATAGATCCGTCTATGAATTAATTTTTCGAAGGTTTTAGAGAGCAGTGGTAAGTTAGATATTGATCTATAGTTATTCAAGTCAGCTTGGTCACCTCCTTTATGGATCGGAGTGACCCTCGCTATTTTGAGGATTGTTGGGAAGGTAGATGATTCAATGGATTTGTTAAAGAGCGTTGCAATAATTGGTGACAATACTTGAGAAGCTTTTTTGTACATAAAAGCAGGCAAGTTGTTTATGTCTCCTGCCTTGTTTTTAAGGGTGTTTATGATGAGCGTAACTTCAGTGGGGTTGGTTTTAGCTAGGAATAGCGTATTTGGGTAGGTACCTATGAGGTTGTCTGATGGACAGGTGTTTGTGCTTGGTATTTTGTTTGCTAGATTTTTTCCTGTGGTGGAGAAGAAAGCATTGTCTGTTTGTTGTTTCGGTTAGAGTGAGTAGGGGTTCATCTGATTTTGTTAGTTTGATTGTTTTGTTTTTGGATAACTGTTTAGTTCCAAGAATTTCAGATAGAGTTTTTCCAGGTTTTTTTCATATCACCTTTGATGTTATGTAATCTATTTTCATAATACAATTTTTTTGACCTTATCAGGCTGGTAAGTGCTGACGAGTAACTTTTCGACTTTTCTCTAGTTATTTGACCCATTCTATACTGTTTTTCATATTTGTGCTTTGTGTTAATGGATTTGAGGATGCTTGGTGTTAGCCAGGGATTATTCAGTCTCTTTGCTGTGATATGTTTAGTTTTTCTGGGGCAATGTCTGTTATAGAGGCATTGGGCTTTTTTTAGAAAATTATTTATACATTAATTCATATCTGTATATGTTTCGAGCTCATTTTGCCAATCGATGTTATTCATAGCTGCTATAAAGTTGTTAGCTGCTGTCTCATTATGTAGTCTGAAGGTTACTTTAGTAATGTCTTGTGGCAGTTTGCCCAGATTAGTTATGAGAAAGGTTGGGTAGTGGTCTGTAGTGTTGTCTGTGATTATGCCTGATTTTAAAGGGGATATAGTGTTTGTCCAGATGTGGTCTATTAAGGAGATGCTTGTCTCGGAGATTCTTGTAGGTTTAGATATTGCTGGTAGCAACAGGCAGTTACTCATTGTGTTTGTGAATTCGGTTACTTGTGGGTCCTGGTAGTGTAGTATGTTTATGTTGAAATCTCCTGTTAGTAGTAGGTGGTCAAGAAATGCAGTACACTGTACTGAATTTAAATTTGTGTTCCAGGATTAGTTACTGTAACTCAGCAGAGGTTTGTTTTTAAATTTACTTGTCTATATACAACTACTGTATTTAAGATTTATTTTTACAGGGTAAGCCAAAACTGAATGTTTTGAAGGAGAACCAGAAAGCTGTACATCCAAAGAGCAGAAAGGCAAAGCAGATTTCTAAAAAATTCTATAGGTATGTTACAACAGTATTTTTGTTTATAAATTACAGATGTTTGTAGATAGATATTTGTGTGCAGCATGAATGTGTGCATGACTAAATAAATATTCTATATTATTTACAGTGACAATTACATTATCAGATTATGTTGAGACTGTAATCCTGTTTAATACAGAGAACTTAAGATTTCACTCTCAGACATTTGTACTTACTAGTATTAGCTATAGCTTTTTATGTTCACTTACTGTAAAATATGTTACAACGCATCTAGCATGTTATGATACTTTGCTGGCTTGTAGCTTAGTGGTGGTTCTTACAACTATTGGGTGAGTAGAAACTGAGTGCAACTCCCTTTACACCTGTTGCCTTTGTTCACATAGGATTTAACCCTTTAAGTGTGCACTATATAAAAAAAATCCTGCAGCATGCAGTGCATGAGAAAAAAAAAACTATGACCGTGTTTTTGGATTAAAACACTGACTTGGCGGTGTGTTCTCGTATGGTTTTTACAGTTGTATTCACTGTTTCTTGGTCTCATTTGATAAAATGGAAGATATATTACAGAAATAGAGATGATTTTGATTGGCTTTAGTACTGAAAATAGCTTGAAATTGAGCTCAAAGTAGCAGAAATGTTCGAGAGTAAACAAATGACATCATGCATCCAATACACATCAACTGGTGGGTATAATATACATTCACGAATGCACTGATATTATTTATACAATTATTACAATATTGCATAACAGTAAATCTTGTATTTTTTCGTGTGAATAAAAATTCCTTACATAAATCAAAATCAAAATGGAATTCATCTGTAAAGCCTGGAAATGTAACTAATAAACAGAGGAAATGTTATTTTAGTGCCAGGAATGCCTGCATTGTTTATTCTGGGCCCTATTTTGAAATTGAAATATTTTGAACTTGGTATGAAATTGGCCAAATTACCAAATTTTGATCACTTTATTGGGTAGTTGAAATACAGTGGACCCCCGCATAACGATTACCTCCGAATGCGACCAATTATGTAAGTGTATTTATGTAAGTGCGTTTGTACGTGTATGTTTGGGGGTCTGAAATGGACTAAGCTACTTCACAATATTCCTTATGGGAATAAATTCGGTCAGTACTGGCACCTGAACATACTTATGCAACTAGCAGAAAGTATGAACTAAAATCTACTGAAATAATACTAGAAAGTTTTTCTTCGCATAGTAGCGGAATAATGTTATGGTGCAGTATACCTTGTTTGCCTTTGGCACATGGGTTGTGCAGTCCCACACTCACACTACTTACCCTAATACATGGATTCCTAGTGGCTGGGAGGGATAAGTTAACACAGATTAATACTTGATCACATTTGAACACCTTATTGAGTCATAATACAGCTCTTAGCTGAAGCCTTCCTTGATATGAAATAGAAGCTAGGAACATAATAGTAGTTGATCATTATTGATTGTAACACAAGTTGCCTGATAGATGCTTAAGCCTCTATCAATCAAAACCTCTTTTACCCCTCTCTCTATTCCTTCTTGAGACAACCTCCTATTCCTCTTACCTTCCTTACTGTATTTCTATCTGTATTTATGTCTTTGGTACAATAAGGGACACTATCAACATTCGTGGCCCCAGACTATTCGATATCTTACCAGAAGATATCAGAAACACTGCTGTAACAAGTGTAGAAGTCTTCAAGAGAAAACTGGACAAGTAATTTCACCAGGTACCAGATCACCCAGACTGTGAAAGATACGTGGGGCGGCAGGCCTCCAGCAGCAACAGCCTGGTTGACCAGGCTAGCACCAGATGAGCCTGGCCCAAGGCCAGGCTCCGAGAGTAGCAAGACTCGAAACTCATCAAAGGTATATCATAAGTAAAGGTATATACTGTATGTATATTGGAGACCTCATCTTACCTTGCATAGCTGTGTTATATTTACTCACCCCAGCACCACTGTAGTTAAATGATATTTCACAGTGGTGTGGATGTAACATTCTATTAGGAATTAAAGGTGAGTGTTGGGATTTTGCACCTATGTTTTCTTGTCTTTCTCTTGGTATCTTCACTTATTTCCAATTTTGAACTTTTTAGTTTTTCATTTGAATTCATAATAGTTTGGCACTTTTTTTGGAATACACTCTAGTAATAATAGTCACCATGTAACATGGACAACCATATGGAGAAAGATATTTTCAAAGTGTAATTTTTTTTTGGCTACTTTAATGATTACACTGGTCAACAATTTTTGAAAAGTTGTATGCTCCTTAACCCTTTGACTGTTGCAAGCCCATTTCTGAAACTGTCATTCTATGTCAAAAAATATTCAAAAAGTAAAAAAATTATTTTTTCTTACCAAAATGTTAGGATTATTTTGCTGAGTGTTTTAAGACTAAAAAAAATTTTTTGTGATCAGTACTTACTGAGATATAGAGGCATAAATTTGGCAGAAAATGAGCCGCATATGGCAACAGCAGCGAATGCTGCTCACCCTGTATACTTTTATTTACTCCAATTCAAAGGTTTCTTGTATTTTCCAATATTTTTTTTTTTTTCTAAGTAACTTATGTGGCCTGTGAGAAGACAGTAAGGTGCAATGTACAAATATACACTCATTGTATACAACACAATAACTGCACAAACATTATCATTATTATATTGTTTACAAAACTTGTTTACACAAACCAACAATACAAAAAATTTTTTATTACTATTGTTCTATAATATATATACTGAACACTTTCCTAGAACTGCTCCTAGAACTGTCTGCCATTTCGTTTCGGTGAACTGATGTCATCACTGTGACATCACGTTTGTCATGCCACCGAAATACCGTGGTGTCATTGGCAGCAAACACCTGCACCTCACCTCTGTGAGTGTCTGCATCGAACCTAGGAATATGCTTACGATTTCCACACACTGCCACATACGTCTGTCATGTTCACTCGGAAGAAATCACTGAGTAAGGGGCTTGTGTACCAGTTATCAGTAAATAATGTATGCTCCTTACCAAGATATGGTTCCATCATTATTCTAACCACATCACCAGAGATACCCAATAACTTCCTGGTTTCTCTCAATGTATTACTTCCAGTGTACACAATTATATCCAAAACCAGACCACTTTTGCAATCACACAGTACAAATAACTTTATACCAAAGTGTTTCCTCTTGCTTAGTATATACTGCTTGAACGACAGTCTGCCTTTGAACAAAATCAAAGATTCATCAATAACAAGCTTTCTGAAGGGATAAAAATGCATACAGCACTTTCGTTTCAGGTACATGAACACATTCCTGATCTTATATAACCTGTCGTTTCTGTCAGGCCTTGTTTTGTCTGAGATGTGTAGCATATGTAACAGTAGCAAAAATCGATTCACTGGTATAATATCACTAAAACCTGGGGTTGAAATCAGGCGCTCAGTCGACCAGTATGTGGTGACAGTGTGCTTATACACATGTGGCATAAGCATTATTGTGGCAAAGAACAGGTACATCTCTGCCACAATTGTGTCCTTCCACTGGAGTAGCCGTGACCTTGGTGAAAGAATTGTATTTGCCATGGTGTGCTCATAGTATGTATTGCTTTCCCTGACAATAATTTCCATCAGAGGTTCATCGAAGAATAACTGAATGCATTCCATTTCAGTGGCATTGTTCCCAAGTGTACACAATGGCTGTATTCCACTTTGTGTTTCATCAAAGTCGTGGGAATTGGGAACAAAATTGGCACCTTCCGGCCAATCCCAGATGCAGTCTGCTGGTGGGTACTGGATATTGAAAGGTGGTGGAAATTGTGGTTGTGGGAGTGTGGGGGTGGTTGAGGCTGGTTGTGGCTGTGCTGAGTTAGTAGCGTGGCCAGCTGCTGGTGCCACATGACTCATGCCACCTCCAACATCACCACCACCTGCTGCCCCACACACATTACGCATCCCCATTGTAACAATATCATCGTCATCTTCACTCTCAGGTCATGGCGTAGGGCCACGGAATGTACTCCGAGATTTGCTCCTTTTCCTTGGAATGGCATATGGCACACTACCAGAATGCATGCTGCATCGTACATACTGCTGCTTCACTGGAGAATATTCCCCCTCACTGTTGCAACTCGAGCTGCTTTCAATAGCTTGGAAATCACTATCACTATCACTTTCACTGCTCACATCTGAGTCTTGTACACAGGGAAATAGTTTCCTTTTTCATACTGGTACAGGTGAACGTGAATGAGACGGCCCAGCACCAGAGGTGGAAGGTTGTGAGTCATCTATGTTTTCATCACTAATTACATTATCCTGGGCACTGCTTTCGGCCACACCCTTCTGAAAACCATGAAAACTTTTGCAGGCACTTCCATCGCTGTTAGAACTAATCACTTGGGAACAGAAGACCTCCAGTTTGGCGAGGAGTAAGGTACTTCTTATCGCGAGGCATCTTGAACAAGGACTACTAAGATAGTGTTCCCACAATGCACCACTGAATCCCCAATTTTTTCATAGTGCGCACAACCTATCACGCAGACCCATTCTCTCACATGTAGGCCTACCAGCTTTCTCACGCTTGATTTGAAGCCTCTAGAATTTACGTGTATTAATACGTTGGAAACATTGGCTCGTAAGATGTATAAATATGGCCGAAACAGTCAAAGGGTCAAATGAGATTAGTTAATTTTTTTGTATTTTCATGTCCTGAATCCAAATATCACCTTGAAAAATGCTTATTGGCTATAGGGTTAAAGATACAAGACATGTAATACAGTGGAACCTCTGCTTGCGAGCGTGTCCACGTGCAAGTTTTTCCAAATACGAGCAGTCGATGGGTTGATTTTTTGCTTCCATACGCGAGCAAAATTTCCACAAGCGAGCAGACCTCAAGGCAGGTTCCTTGACACTGGTGAGGGGCTCTTGCTCTTAATCTCGGGAATTGTATCTCATTTGTTTGTTGGACTATCTTATTGAAACTTGGGCAATGTATGATGGAAAGATGCTTCTTAACGTTCACCAAAAATGAAAGAAATTT